TATTTGCTCCATCCATCCATTTTCTAAGCAACAGACTCAAGGCAGGGTACAATCTGGATGGGACGCCAGTCCATGGGAGGGCAGACACACAGATACAAACACGCACACACTCACACCGGGGCCAGGTTTGCCAGAAGACATTTTAACCCACCAGTATGTCTTGGACCGCATGAGGAAACTGGAGCACCTGGAGGAAACCCACGCAAACACAGAGAGAACATCCAAACTCCACACAGACAGCACCCCAGGTCTAGAACTGACCTCAAGGCCCCAGTGCTATGAGAGAGCAATGCTGACCACGGTGTAGTGGTGCCCTGCTTCACAGAGCCATGAAGGCACTGAGGAATGCAGGCACCACTAACAAACTGCAAATATGAAAAATCTGAAAAGGGCGTCTGCAAAAGGAAAAAGGACACTTCTCTGCGTTCTCTCCTCTTGGCTGGCTTCTGTGCAGGTTTTTGAAGTCTGCTCTTGCTGACCCAAGGGGAGGGGCAGCAGGAAGAGGGCAGGAAGAAGGCTGTGGGCTGGAGTTTAACCCTTTCACCTGCGAGTCACTTCCAGGTCCCCGCCAGGCTGTACGTCTCTCCCAAAGATTCCGCGCTGGCAACTCAGTGGAGCTTGTCCTGCCGAGGGAGCCTGTCTCACAACAGGGTTTTTTTTTGTGATCTATGTGAATGTCTGATGATGTGTTTGTACTGTAAATGTGTTATTTTAGCAGCTGTGGCAGCACTGCAATTCATCAGTCATGGCAGTGAACCTCTCTGAGTTTCAATCTGAGAATGTTCAATCTCCATCCTGTACTCTTACCCATGACTCTGTCAGTGCTCACTGTGAGCCCCAACACACCCAGGCAAAGTACAACAAGTCACCCTTCATAATAATTCACATCAGTTTTCATGACTTCACGCTTATATTAAAGCTCAAATTCTGATTGATTGCTAACTTTGTATTTTTCTAGAATTTATTTAAAGCCAGTGTTTTGTTTTTTTTCGTCACCACGTGGTCTGCATTTTCTATCCTTTCCTACAGCCGCCAGGGGCTTAGGAGTTAATGTCCTTTAACGGATCCCTTTTAACATGCTTTGCTAATGCTTTGAATGAAACTTGCATTCCCAACGCACAGACAACCCGGCATGGGCTTGGAAAAAAAAAAATCTCAGTCTGGAAATGGCAGGTATTGAGCAACATTACAGAAGCTTGGGCTGCACTTCCTGTGTTGCCACGGTTACCTGAAGCTAGGCCAAGGCCTACAAGTTTGGGCCTAGGAGACGGGCTAGCAGTGGCCGCTCAGCAGCACGGCTGTGACCTGCTGCCTTAGCAACACATGAAAGAGAGAAGGGGAAGGGCACAGAGGGGAGAACTTGGGCAAACACAGCTGGTTCCAGGGCCCGGTTGGTCCCTGTTGAGCAAGTCTGAGATAATATCTTGGTGTTTGCTCAAGGGATGGATCTTAATCCGTTAATGTGGCTGAATGCTTATCTGAGCTTGCCCAACACATTCTCTCATCCTAGTGAACAACTCCCCCCCATGCCGTTTTTTTGGGGCCTTGATTTTCTGTCTGAGATTCAGCGCAAAATGTGAATTACTCACAATCTCTGCAACGATATTCTGTAAAAGCCTTTCTACCATGTTTGGTCATTAGATTCTGGATATATTTAATGTAATTAAATCGCCTCTTTGTCGCCCCCAACACTTCTGCACTAACAGCACCTTTTGGAAAAAAACTCACCTGCTTTGACTCCCTGGAACTCTGGGATATCAGAAAGCCAGTTTCCACTGTATACATTTCAGAACAATGAAAAATTGTTTATGTACCATGTAGCTACATACTTTAAACACAAATGCCGTAGATTATACACTATTTCAGTCTCATAGTTAAAAGTTTATTTCGTTGTAAATGAGCCATTTAAAAGATATATTACCTAAATCTTGATAGACGTTGTGTTACCGCCTGTCATCATGTCTCAGAAGCTAAGCATGGCTGGGCCTCATCAGCACTGACATGTGAGGCATCTTGTTGTTCTAAGTGGTATTGCTGGACCTTGAGGTGAGCCCTTCCCTCAGCAGCAGAATTTCCAAACCAATGCTATCAGTATGGTTACTGGGAACACCAAGAGGTGAGGCCCTTTGGATGAAACATTAAACTGTCCTGAGCACTGGATCATTAAACATCACATGACACTTTTCAAAAGAGTAGAAGGGATACGCTGAGGTCATGGATAAATTCCACTCTGGACTTGTATTGTCTTGAAATTTCCCCCTCAATGTTGAAGTGACTGCCCACTCATCCATCTGATCTGCTTTGTAGTGGGGATGTCCAGTAGGTGCACAATCAACAACTGCATAGTTTGGGTTACTTTGTTTTGCCATTGCACAGAAAAATAGCTCCATTTCGGGATTTCCGTTTTAGGACTTCACATTCACTGAACAAAATGGGTAACAACATATCCAGCACCTGTAACAACAGCTTGTTAAAATCAGAAAGTGGACAAACCAGGCAGCAAGGACAGACATGTCTCATTTCCAGCATCGGGTCACGACCATTTCTCAACACACTATGTGATATGATACACTTTCATTATGTTAAATTGCGTCAAATCCTGTTCAGTCAATGTCCTTCAATCTTATTGTACATATTTTTTTCCCGTTCGACTCTTTTGAATATTCTGTATGTTTATGAAACTACCAATACCACAAACGCAGGTCGTTGCGTTTCGGCTGAATAACAGCCGCATCAGAGCAGTAACCGAAATAAGGTACTCTGTTTCCACCTTGTGGGCAAACTGGAATTACACCATCCCGATATGCAGCGGAACCTGTACGGTGTCCACTCTCAGCTATTCTGATTGTATCAGTAGTGCATCGTCGTCCACACTGTCATACAATCGCAGGCGAACAAAAATGATACATCTTACGGGGTTCAAACATAGCAAATCGTAGTACTGCTACGCTTAGTAATCCAGAACATTTTGTATTCAGAGAAATACACTCACTGGCCAAGTAAGTATTAGAAACCTCCAGTCACATGAACCAGAGCATCAGTGTGCCAGGCAATGTGCAATTGGGATGAGATAAAAGAACAAACATTACATTTGAATTTGAATCGTTGCTTTCTGTTATTCAGCGTGCCTCAACACCATCTGCGTGTTCATAGAGTTATGTTCAGAATTATCCAGAAAATGTCAATGTCTCAAGGATGTCACACTAAATCAACGCAGGTTACAGCCAGGGAATTGTGGGACTGTATCGGCGAAGTTATGATTGGTTAGCTCTGAGGACTAGTCGGGCCCGATGGTCCTCCCCTCTACCTGGGGGAGGGATCAGGCCTGGGGCCTTTCCTCTAGTGTCGGTCGCCCCGGTAACAGAACACTTTGACGCAGCCGTCGGGGGGGTCAGCCACGTAGACCCGCCCCCGCTCACAGCAGGCCAGGCCGGCCGGCTTCCGCAGGCCCTCGGTCACCACGGCGACCGGCTCTCCGCGGGGGGGGAAGAGAACCACGCTGCGCTCCTGCTCGTCCGCCACCAGCACGTTCCCCCCCGGGTCCACGGCCACGCCGGCCGGGTTCCCGAGACGGAAGGCGGGCGTCTCGCCGAGAGAGCGGAGGAGCCGGTGCCGGGGGCCGTAGAGCTTCACGCCGCCGCACTCCTCGCTGACCGCGAAGCCCCCGTCGGGGGTGCCGCAGACGTGGCGAGGGCCGGACAGCCCCGTCACGGAGCGGACGCTCAGGAGCCTGAGGCTCGGGCCCACTCCGAATACGTGCACCTTCCCCGGCTGGTAGTCGGCGACCAGCAGCCTCCCGAAAGCGTCCACGGCCACCCCCCTGGGGGAGGCGAAGTCTCCCAGGCTGACCCACTCCCCCCGGCCGGATCTGGAGTGCGGGTTGAAGACCCTCACCTTCCCCCCGGGGAGGTCGACAGCTGCCACCATCCCGGCCCGGGTCAGGGTGACGTCCTCCGGCAGGAAGAGCCCCTCCCGGGTGGCGCACCCCAGCTCCCTCACGCGCCTCCCCCCGCCCGTCACGACGCTGATGCGGGCCTCCTCCCTGCTGCTCACGTACGCCGTCCCGTCCGCCGCCACGTGGACGGCCCAGGGGGACGCCGGCCCCCCCGCCAGCCGGCCCGCCGGCACGTTCTGCCGCAGCCCGAGCCGGATCTCCAGGTTGTCCAGCTGCCGGCACAGCCCGGCGGCGCTCTGGCTGAGCTGGTGCACCTCCTCCTGGGTCACCATGCCCATGCCCCTCTGGAGGCTGAGCAGGGGGGCGGCGCGCTGCAGGGTGCCCTCGGCTTTGGCCTGGATGCCCCTCAAGGCCCGCAGGAGGCCCTCCTTGCGCTGAATGACCTCCAGAGAGTAGTCCATAGCTTTCTGCACAGTCTGCAAGGGTCACAGAGCCTTGTGGAAGGGAGCTGAACGGCAAAGCTTAGAGAGGTATAGAAAAGCAGCATACGAGCCACTAATTGAAATCATGGTTAATTACTCCCCGGATGTCTAGAGTCTATCACAGATATGCCATCAAATGCTGGGTTTCTGCTTGAGTCTACGCTCAAGTCTCTACATTGGTTGCCTGTAAAGTGACCTATTCAATACAAGATCGTGTTCCTGACTTTCAAGGCCCGAAACAACCTGGCTCCATCATAGACCTCTGAACTCCTCCGTGTTTTACACTCCGTTCAGTTGAGGCTGGTCCTCTGCCCGCTGTCCCCAGGACTAAATCATGACCTTGTGGTGCTCTGTCGCTGCTCCAGTGTTGCGGACTGACCTTCCTCAGTCTTTCCGAGTGACAACTTCTTTAACTCTCTTCAAATCGAAACTTAAAACTTTAAACCTCTTTACCAAGATCTACGTCTGATTGCCTACAGTCAACTTGTAGAAACCTATATGCTCTTTTTTGCCCACTTACTTTTACTGTGCTTTTCTGGTCTTTTTCTTTATTCATGATGCAAAGCATCCTTGGATTTGGAAAAGCGCTTTAGAAATAAAAGTTATTATTGGCATTATTGAGCGCGCAAATGCACACTATGGTAAGGGTGTCGGATACAACACAGGACACAAGGAGAACTCTGCAGCAAATGCATTAAAGAATGTGAATGAGAATCACATAAATATGACTCACTAAATAAAGGAATGGAAATTTCAAGGCAACAGTAGAGGACACGTTAGATTTTACTTGAACTTCAAGGTTTTGGTGATCCTTTGAAAATAATACTAAAGATGCCTCTATATTTTCTAATAATCAGCCTTCCTTAAAGAGATTCTATTATCCCTATAGATCCACACAGTGAAAATGCTCCAGCCTTACCTGCTGTGTGCTGTTGTGTGCAGTGTTGCTCTGTGTTCTGTGTTCTGTGATTCCCTGTATCCAGGTGCACGGGCTTCTTCCTCTTTGAACAGCGTTGAGGTTGTGATGGAGACAGGGACAAACGCTATCACAGGCAGGGCTGGGACAACACTGTTATCGCCCTGTGAGTACGCTCTGACTGCTCCACACGCACAATCCCTACTATCTAAAAAGGAAGGAAATAATAATAATTGTTTACACTTCTATAGTGCTTTTCTGGACACTCAAAGCGCTTTACAGGTAATGGGGATCCCCTCCACCACCACCAGTGTGCAGCCCCACCTGGATGATGTGATGGCAGCCATAGTGCGCCAGAACGCCCACCACACATCAGCTATCAGTGGGGAGGAGAACAGAGTGATGAAGCCAATTCATAAATGGGGATTATTAGGAGGCCATGATTGGTAAAGACTGGGGGGAAATTTGGCCAGGACACCAAGGTAACACCCCCACTCTTTTCGAGAAACGCCCTGGGATTTTTAATGACCACAGAGTTGCTTATTGTGCAATGATTGCTTATTGAGAGTTTCCTCCTCCAGCTGCCTTTGTGTTCACTTGGGAGCAAGATGACCTTCAGAAAAGCAATAGAAGTTGCACATGCAGTAAGAGGCCACCACATCCTGAGCCTCTGCTGCTGTGAGTTCATTAGTATCTCTGCCTTAAGGCCAGCTCAAGTAAGAGCATGATAATAATATGACTGGCTGTCCCAATAGAATAAATACACAGAACATAAAATGCATCACTCTAACAACAGAGAAGCCTTCATATTTTCTTATGGTACCGGCTAGTGAAGTACTTCATTCACTCTTCATTCAGGACAGGACATACCAGGGGGCAGTTTGTGCCGGTCTCGTGCTTTACTTACATAACCACAGAGCACTCTAGCAAAAGATTCAGAACAACAGTTTACTGGGATTGTCCAAGCGGCAGCTCATCAGTGGTGGAGCATGTTGGTACAGGGCGGGCACGTCATCAAGGACTCTCCTGGTTTGTGACAGTGCAGCAGCTTGTGAAAATTGCCGGCAGCGCAGAGAGAGAGGCGTGTCGCTACTCCAGTTGGTGCTAACCCTCCTGTCGGCTGCTATGGAGCGTCTCAAAGGCACTCATTCTTCATGTGTGGCAACAGGAGGCATGGATAGAAATCTTAGCGTTACACCACCTGTGATGGCAAATTCTGCCCGGTTTACTGTAAAAAAATAATTGGCGATTCCAAAAAACGTGGCTTCCTCCAGAATTATCCGTCCTGTGGCACACTGCGTGATGTCACTTCCTTTTCTCAGCACCACCTTAACAAAACTGCGTTATGGCACAGGCTGTTTCCACTTCTGTGAAACCCTACGGTTATCTGTGGCAAAGACAAGCCTGTTCATTTATTGCAGCTGTGCATTCGCGTCTATATAAGATGAGCCTATTACGTAATCAAACCCTGTTTCTGGGTCCAGTAAAAACAGGCTGACTGCATTATTTCTATCATTGCAGCTCCAATCTGAAACCACCCGCGACATTGTGGCCCATAAATCTTCTTTCAGTGTTTCTAAGATTCACAGTGAACATTATGCTCCTCCTACCAATAAATAAACCCCGAGAGCTTTGTGTTTTGAGGAGGGTATTCTCTAAACCTGTGAAATGCACTGTCCACAAATACCCAACTGCCTGCTTCTGCCACACATTAACAGACAGCCGTTTCTCCCATCCTTGCTGTGGGCTTGGAAATATGGATGTGGAAATGAACTCACTTGCCACAGACTGGTGGCTGACCTTTCCCACGCTGGAAGCCCCGATGAGCCCTGGCGTTTTAACTTGGGGCCAGTTGCGAGGGCCCTGGATGACAGGAGAGAAGTGCTGCTCTGGGCTCTGACCTTTGTGGGGGCAATCGACTGAGCGACAGGTAAAGGAAACAGACATTTAGCTCGGGGACTAATTTCACCTTTACTAAGGTAACTGTCCCGTGTCGGTCCTTATCACCTAAGAGCTTCAGCACACTGCCACTCTCCATTAGATGACCTCTTTCTGTCTTCGTGTCCTGCTGGTCTTTTTCCTTGTGACATTCTCACTTACCCTGTGCAGCACATACAGCTAGAAGGAATTGATCAAACTTCGTTAAATACACACAGGAAATGCAAAGTCCTACGTTTTAGATGCTGTCAATGGGATTCTTATAATTGCCTGGTGCTTTTATCCAAAGAGTCTTACAGTGATTGATTGCAATTGCCTGTTTTTTATATACAACTTTTAATTTCCATGGACTATGGTATTTAAGGGACTATTAGTATTGCAACCACATATCTAGGTTTATTGTTTTTTTTAGACATTTAAATAAATATTCTCATGGTATTTGAAGGGTTTGTAATGTGCAATTATGGCTCACGAAGGACATAATTGTACATTCCGCTACATGAAAAACTCAACATAAAACATAGTTTGATTGATCTCTTAAGAAATCAATTGGATCAAGATCAGTCTGTCTGTCCTGAATTATTTTAATACCTTTATTTAATTGATTTTCTCGTTTTAACCTGCTCATAAACCATGTGAGTGACTAGCAAGTTAGACCTCTGCACCATGCTGAGCCCTTATAGGCTTGCAATGTCAGTGATGGTGGTGAGAGACTTGAGATTCCTCCAATCAGTGCTGAACCTCCTACAAGGGGCTGTGCTGCTTGTGACATATTGAAAGATGATAGGCTTGAGTCTGCTTATACTTCCTCATTCTCCCCCGTGTGCGGTGACACTGTCCGCAGCTATGACCTGACCCATGAAAAACACTGGCTAGCTATTTTGCATCAGGTGGGCATAACAAAAAAATATTTGGCAGTTCCAAATTTCTAAAAAAATAATTTGTTGGCATCTATCTTTTTGGGATTGATCTCAATGGATAAAACTGAAATTACTGTTCCCTATTCAGTCAGTCGTACAAAGCAGTTTACTCAGTTTAGTTTTGGTTGAGACAAAGGGGATCAAAAACAAGCCAAAACTCCTGCCGTTCAATGTCATTCAGGTTTTAACGTCCTTGTTTTACACACATTCTGAGCAGCTTCATTTAAAATGAATTTGATAAATACACGACTCTTGCACAACCCTGCATAGTGCAAAAGCTCCGTATCATAGCCTGTATGTATGTCTCAAAGTTGCCATTTGTGATTTGTAAAAGGCACAGTCAAGGTGGTAAAAATACAGCATGTAAAAACCTCAACTCAGACAGATTTGTGCTTTCAATTCTGTTTAATTTCAAGGAAGTACAAAAGCTTGTCTCTGAAAGATTGTCTGCACGCTCCTGGGTCATACATCCAGGTCAGGAGTTCCAAGGGTGACCCTCTCATAGATTTACTTTATACAGATCAAACACTGTGTGAATGTATATACAAGTTAAGCTTTTTAACGAAGGTAAAAGAATCGTGGTCATTGCCTACTCATCCTAGACGTCCTGGAAAGAAATCACGTGTTTTTCAGCTGGAATCTTGCATCAGGGTATTTTCCATTGTCTAGGACCTAACAGGTATGGTAATATGGCTATTGAATGTTTGAGTGGCCCGACTTTGATTTAGTCTTTTATTACATCAGAATTACACACAGCAACACTATAGTGCGAGACGGAAAACCCTTTTCCATTTCATACTGCAGGTACTGAATGAGTGCTCAGCATGAAAAGGTGGTAATGGAGGGAATTTGACCAGGAAATGCTTTGTTATGTCCGTGTGTGCAGGTTGTCTTCTGGCATCTTCAATATCAACAGGCATGATCGGTTTTGGCTATTTTTCCCCCATGACAAAGATACAGAACTCTCAAATCAATAACAGCAGCCTATGGAGTTTCTAAGTACCCCAGATACAGTACACCAACTACTCAGCTAGTATGTCCTTGCTAAGAAGTCTTGCATGGTCTTCGTGGAGCAATGTTCATCACATGAACCTCTGACATGTCTTGAGAGAGTCTCTGAAGTTCTGTATGTAGATCAATACTCTTGATCACAGAAACCACGGACAGCAGCACATCAAATAGTCATGACAAAGTCCAACAACTACGACCAGAACATGGACTACAGTTGCAGTGAATGGGCTGCTGTAACCACGATTCTTCCTTGCCACCTCCTACGTTTAGCTGTTCTTCTGAGCTGGATCCCTCCAAGCGGCGAGATGGGTGGCCGATGTCAACCAGTCTGCAGGAAAACCAGCTGTTAGGGGTCGCCGGGTGTGAGGGGGCTGGGAGGTGGCAGCATCTCCCCGGGGTGATCTTTGGACGAGGGCCTCTTCAGTGTCTTGGCACTAGAGGTAAAGTCGGCGAAGACCAAGGGAGCCGAGCGACCATCCGGACACAGGAGCACGCTGGAGTCTGCCTCGCATTTGGTCGTCCTGCTGGGCCACAGGGCCTCGACGGGGGGCGGCCGGATGCCCAGACTACTGGGTGACACCACCTCCGTCTTGACCACAGCGCCCGGATGCGTGTCACCCAGCTCAGAGTGGCTGATCTTGATCATGACATCTTCAGCCTGGCAGCAGCTTTCCTGGGACAGGAGTTTTCTGCCCAGTGGGACTCCCTCCTCCTCCTCCTCCTCCTCCTCCTCCCCCTCCTCTTCCGTCTCCCCCAGGATGCTTCCTTTGCCTTCTGAACACTGACCTTCTCCCCCGCTGCCAACCACTTTGCAGTCTAGAGCCTTCTTGACCGAGAGGTCCAGGGGTCCTTCATGCTGCCTGGTGGTCTTCTCCAGTGCCTGGTGGATGTGCGACAGCTCACTGCGAATTTTACAGAGGTGGTCCCTCAGGTAGCGCTGGCCGGGGCTGTCCTCCTTCGCCAGGTGAGAGATCTTGCGATCAGCTTCCTGGTACTCCTGCAGGGCCTTGGAGAGGTCACCTAATAGCCCGGCTGCCGCATCCGACTCCTCCCGCCTCCCTGAATATCTGTCCTTCGCTTTCCCAGGCTTCAGAGGGGATGAAGGCTCTAGCAGGAGGCCTCTGGACTCTTGTCCCTCTGCTGGACACTTTCTGCTGTCTGAGTGCCATTCCCCTGCAGGCCTGGTTGGCAGAAGAGAGGTGCGAAAGGTGCTGAAAAAGAATGCAACAGCACAAAAGAGGGTTGGAGAGCAGAGCCTTTAAAGACCACTGAAATACAGCACCAGCTCAGAATCAAAGAAGCAAAACAAACTGTGACTGGCATCTGAATAATATGCCAGCTTTTTCTCTCAGTGAAATACAGCACTCTTCTGCCCGTGAGATCCAGGTATACATCCTACACCTTTCAATAACCTATCCATACTGAAAAAGAAATCTGATCAAGAAGGGAAGCCTAATGTCGTTTTAGAGACACGCTGCATGGTAACACAGATTCAAGCTCTCTAATACCCACCTGCCATGAAAGAGGAGTTTTTCGGTTCCTGCAGTGAGTGATGGGGCACCGTGCGTGTTCTTGAGAAGGTCTCGTGTGCTTCCCAGAAAAGGCTTCTTCTCCTGGGGGCCTTCCTGATTCTCCAGGGGCACCCCGGTCCTCTTGGCGTTCTGTTCTCTTAGCGAGGGGACATCCTTGGGGCTCCAAAACCCCATCTTGTTGTCCTTACCTGCAGCTAGGTGGGACTTCTCTTCTGCTGCCCCGTAGCCAGGCTCAGCTGACCCCGCAACCTGCTGGTGGGAGGCCCACAGAGCTGGGGGAGCCCCGTTGGTACTGGGGCGCAAGGCGGGGACCTTCCACAGGCCAATCTTGGGCGCATAGCTCGCTTGCGCCTTCGGCTCCAGCCCAGCTGGGGACTGTCGCCCGGGCTTGACGCCCTTGCTGGAGTCTTGCGTGGCTGCGAACGCATGTTCGCAGAGCAGAGGGTAGTAGAAGCGAGGTGGCAGGACGGACCTTTCCGAGGGGGGCACGGACCCGGAAGGAGGGTGCATGAGCTGTGCAGCGGATGCGAGGAAAGGGAGCTGGGCAAGCTGGGCGTGGGCCGGGGTTGCTCCAGGCACTGCGGGGTTGAGGTACGAAAACAGGCCTGGGCTTAGGGGGTAACTGACACCCAGGACTGAGAGATTCAGCGCAGGGGCTTCCTGGCATTCTGCAAAGGGTTGCACGGGTGGGTAGCAGGACATGGAGCCGCCATCCGCGAGTGAACCTTCTGCGTTTGCCTTCCTGTGGCTGGTTGCCAGCAGACGCCACTGCTCCGAGAGGAGGCTGGGACCAGTCAGGCAGGTCTTAGAAAGTTTATAGTGCTTCAGCTTAGCCTCTACCTCTACCGCCCGGGCATTGAGAAGCTGGTCTTCAAGGGAGAAGACATCTGTGATAACAAAATCGGCCTCTGTTTGTTTGGGCCTCTTCGTAGTGTTTCGGGGGCCGTTGTCAGTTTGGTCTCTGGCCTCTTTGGTGGGCAGGGTTTCCTTTAGTCCCTCCCCTTGCCCTCTCTCCCTGTCGATTGGATCCTCACCTTCCTCTGGCTCCTCCCCCCCAAAGGGGACCTCTGACTGCGCGGCTTTTGATTGGTCCACAGGAACTGGGCTGGACTCCACCTCCTCGCGACCTGACCCTCGGAGGCGTGCCCCCGGCTGTAGAGGTCGAAGTTCAGGGTGTAGGAGATTGCCCTTTTTGTAGGGCCATTCAGACTCAATGAGCAGGGAGAGGGAGTTCTTGCACAGGCTGTACTTCATGTGGTTGTACAGGTGGGACTTTTCCATGCATGTGAAGGGACACTGGAAGCATTTATAGTTATAGGGTTTGCCCCACGGTCGTGGGATGTAGTGCGGCTTTTTGGGCTTGCGTTCCTTGTGCTTATACACTGAGCTAACCTTGCAGGTCAAGTCTTCCTTTGACATGGTGGTGAAGGGAGATCTAGAAAATCTAGAACCTTAGAATATAGAGAAGGGACTAAACTGAACAATCTCAAACAGCCGACATACAGCGCGTCAGGTTGGATATTTTGGCGAGATCAGATTTGTCCTCGCACAGCTGGTGCTGGTGCTGTTCAACAGATCTGTGTTCTGCGTGGGGCCCTCGATTCTCCTTAAGGAACCCAGTCCTGACCGGGCTGTAAAAAAAAAAGGAAGACAATTTCAAATCACACCATGAAACACCCGCACCTCTCCATTTTCAGCAACCACTTTATCTTGGTGGCGATAAAGCTCAGTTATAGAGGTACCAGTTACAGGCAGATGAGTGCACAGCTCGTTTAACGCCGAGTTATTTTGAAAGCCGTTGAGAGGGCTTTGATAATTCTGAAAGAGCAAAAGCGCCAAAAAAATCTTTGCAGAAAAATAAGAAAAACAGGGCCGCAGAGAGAGCGACAGACTAAGTCAGGCAGGACAGGAGATGGTGTGGGAGTGTGTCTCCTTGCTTCAGCGTGTGTCTGGTGGAGTACAGTTGCTACTAACCTATCTGCAGGGCGGACTGCGCCGATGTGTTCTCACTGTACCTGCCAGAACTAATTATTTCCAGTGCTGTACCAGGCGCTAGCAGAGCTCAGGGCTGGGTTTCCAAGCGGGCAGCCCTGGGGGGCCCTGCACCTGTGTCGGGGAGGGTCCCTGGTGAGCCACTGTGCCGCGCGGGGGGATCGTGCGAATGGAAACTCCCCAGGGGGCTGCCCCTGGCACCGTGCAGCCAGGGTGGATAGGTGGGTGGGCGAGGGGAAACAGCAGCTTCTAATGAGAGACTAGCACAGTACCCACAGGGCATCATTAGTGCCAGGGCTGGAGGATCTGGGTCAGAGCTCAACGCTAGAGTGTACCCTGCCTGTTCTGTACTCCCCGTGGTTTCGTGCCAGCTACCTTCATGTGTGCCCACTGCCCACTGCCCAGTGGTCAGTAGAGCTTGAATTCACCATGCCACATCATGTTCTCCCCTACAGGCAGCGCCATCTACTGGATGTGTTCAATCACTGCGCACCAGATCTGTGCCTGGCACCTCGCCCCCTCCGGCTCCTCGCCCTGTCGGGGCGAACTCGCGCTGGGGAGGGCGGCGGAGGTTAACCGCGTGCCCGCTCGGCGGGGAGACAAAGTGCTCCTGATTTGACCAAAAGCTGACAAAATTCACAACAAAGTCTACGTCCCCTAATGGAAAAAGAATCGCCGACCAAATAAAGCACAAAATTAAATGCCGGTTTTAATTCAAGGGCTGAAAGAAAATGGACTCACTTTTCCCTTAGATTAGCAACATAAAAACTTTTTTTTTTAATCTAGTGAGATTTCATAACATTTTCATAACATTTTTCGAAAGAGTAATTTAACATATATAATGTAGGCCACTGTAATTTTTATATAAAATACAAGAGATTCACAAACATCTTAAATGTTTTACTACTGGATGGCATTCCTTGGACAGTCCTGTAATCAATTATGCTTCATGGAGGTGTGAAATGCTTATTCAATTTGGGTTAAGTAAAAAAAGCAAATACGCTCGCCTCAAATGTTTTTTTTTGCAAAACTGCAATACACTCAGGCATAGTACAGACATAGATAATATTAAATCATTTGCTCCCTTTCTAAAGCCAGGCTAGGCTGAGCAGAATACAGTTAATGAGCACTTAACATACCCTTTCCAATACCAGCCTTCTCAACAAAAACATTTGCAACAGTAACACTTTCTACTGTACTCACTGTATAATTCATTGGAGGCCCCTAAAGGAAGAAGGAATAATTCAGCCATATGGATTTAATGTCAGATGCAATTCCTGTCACAAATCTAAACTTGAGCTCCATATGGGTCTTCAGTTTTCCAGTGCTGTTTATCCCGACGATGATCGCAAATGTTAAACGCTCCATCATGAAATACAGGAGTAATCCTGATCTTAGGTCGGACTACAAAGATGCTACAATTAAAAAAAATAAATAAAGGGGCAGATCTATCCATTTATTTGTACACATTCAATCACCATGACTGACAAACAATGTGGGTTTTGCATATCATGTGCTCCTAGTAACTCAATTTTATTTGCTCTGTTATTCAACAATATTAATTAGTTGAAGTATACCCTGCTTTGTGAATAGTTCTCTTGGTGGGACAATGTTAACTATCAGGACAGGATAAATACAGTTTCTATGGATCATCGATCAAACTAAATCGATCATCACAATACGGGACATGAGGTATCTGAAAACCACATGCCACTGTGCATGAAATAATCGAGCCTTTCCAGTCCAGTATTAAAACTGGTGCCCGAGTATGCAATTATGACAATTTTATTTTTCAGTAAAGCCTTCTTAGAATTAACTAGATTTAATCGTGCGTACACGGTCAGATAACAGCTCAGAATCTAAATTATCGCATGCTCCATTTTAAAAAATCGATTCATGTTTTTCCTCTTTCTCCGTTTGCCTTCAGTAGACATTTTTTTAATGTTTTACATTTTTTAAAACGTTACAACCCCAGTATTTCTAAGCAAGGGGGTTTTGAGTTTTGTTGCGTGTTTCGATGACATTGCCTTCCCCTGATGTTGAACCAGTTAACTACTGTGACTCTGAAAAAGCCTTGGATTATCTTTTTGGGTGAAACCTGAATGAATGTCGGACTCGAAGATTCTTGCTTGATTCTGTGCAAGCAAACAGTGTAGTGTGGAGACCTTAGTTAGTTCTGGTCTGGCTAACATTTATTCCTTGCATCTGTGACCATCATAGACTGACATTTTCGGTTGTTTGGCTTTTACAGATAACGCATGGAAAATACAATTAAAAGCTGCTTAGATTCCAATTTCCTTACTGTTATAACAATAAAAAACAAAGCATTTTTATAGAGCCTTCCCATCTCGTTCGTGATCTGAACATTTAGTGCTGCCCTCTATATTTTCAACTGTATCTGAATGAGCATCGATATTCTTTAACATTGTTTAACTGTGCTGACTTCTCGTTTTGTTCTACTGCTCTTGCGAGTACTAGAAAGGCGCAGCTGTTTTGGTTTGACAAAGATGGGTGGCGCGTGAATTGATCTGCAGAACACATCACTGATGGCGCAGGGCAGACAAGTAGCGGGCAATTCTATTTACAAAAAAGTCTCACCCTGGCAGCAGCAGGACGTTGTAGGCCAGAGTTCTCCAAAGGCCTGGTGAGAGAACGACTCCTGCCCTCAAGCTTCCTGAACCACACTCAGCCCTTAAATGGAAAAAAACAGCTGCTGTAGGGGCCCGGTCAATAAAATTCATTTTTACAGTTGATTTTTCACTGCCGGCTAGCATTAACAACACCCGTTCTCTGTTGCTGGGCTCTCTCCTGCTGTTTTCAACCCCTCCAGACTTATTTGAAGCTTTTAGGCTCATGTTCAGCCACTCTGGTCTGCTCTAGAGAAATATCAAATCGCTTCAATTAAAAGGTTAACCGCCCTAAGAGCTCTTGTCCAGCTACGCAGCTCCAAATTGACAGAGGTGGGAGAGTGTTTTTTTTAAAGTTTAAAATTTAAAGTATTTTCCTTCACAATCCATTGTCAACAAGTATGAAGAATTGTTGCCTATGTGGGCATGGAAAACGCTTCATTAAAGAGAGAAAAATGGCGGCAACACACTTTTGAAGATATAAAATTAAAATATTAATTAAAATCAAATGATCTATTGGGTTTCACTGCTTCCAGACTTTTGAAAAGACTTTTTTGAAACCCTTTTGTCCTTTTTGGCTCAATCACTGATGTTTATTGTGAACCAGAGCATAGCACCAGCATATGACCCCTACATTTCTGAGACCCAAACAGAACAGGAAACAGCCTTGTCCGTTGAGCCGACAGAATTACCAGCCTCAGCTCACAAATTCTGAGGAGCACAGTCTCATCGGCTCTACTGATTTCAGTTAATAGACCTTCCCGTGTTCATGTTGTGACATTACTAAGAAATGATTTAGCTTCAAAGATATTTATTAGCTTTTTTCTCTTTGAACTTGTTTATATATTATGGGCACTTTTTTTCCCCCTAAACACTCATTACGTCTACACGTTTCAAGTCCATGTCATTTAGGTTTGCAAACCTGTCTCATCGCTTGCCATGTAATTTTCAGCTGAACTCTTTTCACGTGCTGGTCAGTCTAGTTTTAACACGTCGTGGTACACGGTGCTGTATAACAAGCATCAGGCAAAACAACCTTGCTCATTCTCAGATGAGTCTATCAACTAAAGAAAATGAATCAAACATCTTTACCGTGTTTTCCAGTCAGCGGCGCGTCCGGTGTTGGATACTTTCTATTCGATTTCCTGCCCCAGTTGCTTTGACAATGTCCTGTTCAAAAAGTAGATTTTTAGAACTTCAGCAAGAAAGAATAAAGAGAAATACATACTATCTTGTAAAAAATGGACTGACCTAATAATGGCTTCTCTAAATTGCGTTTAGCGAGCACAGCGGTCTATTCACATAACTGGACTCCCTCCATTACAACATTAAATATCTGTTATCTATCTCTTGGTCCCCTTAGTGTTACACATTTTTTTAAAAAATATATTAAACATATAGAATATACAGATACAAATACAACAAGAGGATCAGAATCATGTACAAAAGAAAAAAAAACGCAGCAGAAAAAAGCATTTAACTTCCAGAGGTAATTAAGTAATTATGTGATCCTTAGTGTTACACATATCACAAAGCCTCTTGCACTGTATAACGTATGTACTATGCAATGACAGCTTCCGTTAATTACACTGTAGCTGTGATCTATTGTCACATTTCTGTATCATTATGATATTACCAGACCTTCCTGTGTTTATGGTGTGACATTACTTAGAATTCATATAGTTAGTATATAGTTTTCATTGCTCTGAAACCTTTTACGTTGCTTAGCGACTTAGCGATAAATTAAGAAACATCGTACACAACAAAATAATTCTCAAAAGTCCGGTAATAAAAGAAGGCCGTTGGTTTGTCTTTATACAGCCCTTAGTGGAGCTGTGCTGTCGCTCTCTTCGGATCATCTTCATCTACATTGTAGCCGTGTTAGCTACGGATGTCAAACGGAATATATTTCTGGGTTATTAATAAGGATCAAGAAAAGGTTAATTCCACGCTGAAAAGTCGGGTGGAACTAACCTCTATACTGTACGTGTTCCTTTACAGCCCACGCGCGGAGACCCAGTTCCCACTCGAACTTCTTACACTATTATTACACTGGTGTGCAATGGTGTTTTGCATTTTCCACCAAGAATAACAGATACATTTTCCATAATTGGTTTACGACACAATTAACACAGACGCCCCGCATCACTGGTGTAAAGTCATGCTCATGTAATCTCTGAATTTACTAAAACGTCAGACAGCGCGAAACGGTGTTCTAGCGATAAAGCCTAATGGCTCACGGAGTAATTTCACTTACTGTATTAAGTGACCAGGGTCTCCAAGGTTAATTTTTCTTGGCTTTGAGACAGGCAAAATTAGTTTCAAATGCCCCGACTTTGGCATGATTATTTGGGAAAGTGCTGAAGATAATTTGTTCAAATTCTATATGAGGCTTTTTAAGACACGACAAATATTTGAATAGACGTTCTGTCAAATATCTTTTACCAAGAAACCTTGACAGTTGCGAAGACAAATCGTCATTTTCGTGAGCAGACAACTTAATCAACGGGATACAAAAACGAATGCAAATCCTACTTTAAATTATTTTCTTTTTCATATCACCTCATTTCAGCGACATGAAAGATGAATATACACTGTAGTTACATTGCACTGCTGTAACTGAATATTTAG